GATCAATACTAATAAAATGTATTATCATCCAAGATAGCTGTAACTAGTCATTTCCAGTGATTCAGTAGTTGTATAGCGTTAATCGTGCAGATGATGTGATATCATTATTGTGGATGGAAGTCAATGGAGGAGTCAATAGAAGGGACCGCAGGCTTAACAATACAGTCGTCTGAAATGTTTTCCTAGTGAAATCAAAACCGGGGAGCTCGCTTTCTACTTTTCCGTGATGTTTGACTCTTGCTAGCCTTTTAAGAAGATTGTCGGGTAGCAGGTATACCTCCATAGAATTGTGCTCTTTTGTGCAGCGGGGATAGAAGGAAGAGGTACCTTGCAGGGAAAACCTCTGCCTGCGGAGCAATAAAAGCTTCAAGGTCTCTTTACCATCGTAGATCCTTCCATCGATCTGCATTCATCGAGCTTGACACGTATTTTCACGGTGAAGCATTATGACAGGTGTAGGACAATAACAATCGATTATGGTTCACGTGTAACACCATAATTCACCATTTTATTTCCTTTTCTTCCCATCAAAGTTAAGCGGTGCAATAACACTTGGTTATCAAATTAGAAACACTTGCAAAAATTTAAAGAAAATATCTGAAGAAATAGTATAAAATATATAAAGCGAGATAAAAGTATAGTATAATTATTAAAGTTGGAAATTATTGTCTGCAATTTGTTCCTTTGATGATCAATTTACTTAGCGCAATTAATAGGGGTACCTCCATAAATAACCAAGTATTTCCAAGTGGAATATAGAAGACATCTCGAGGGGGTCAGATACGGGCGACAGTAGCGTGTTAATGAAAGAAACGAATAGTTTCGTGAAAGTTTCTAAGTTTAACGATAGCATCGCGATACATCGGAATGCCAGATGATGCATATGCAAAGACGAACGAGCGGTAATACTTTTTGTCAACAGGAATTCCATGTTTTTAGGCTCCAGAGATGTTCAGTAGCGTCAGCTTTCACAATCTTCGCCATACGGCTTTCGCTGACACTGACGCTCGCATATTTTATAAATCAATGTCTTCTGTCATTTTGATAACGAAAAAGAAATTATTATTATTATCTCTACCTCTGCCACCACGTATTTACGTACAAACGAGGGAACGTAGGAATTTTTTAGCGTTGATTGCTGATAATACATTTTAGGAGCATTAACTCTTGGACGGCGCACCATGGAGAGAGGCTCAATTTTAATTCAATCTATTATTTCACATTATTTTTATTTTCTGAACAAATTTAACTGGGTGGGAAATAATGTCTGGTATCTGAAAGGAAACCATGTGTTAGATCCAAAGGATTATATCGAGTAGATGGACAAAGAATGTTCCAAAGTTTTCTTCAGTAACTGGACCAACATTGATCGACCTGCTTTTGATGACAAATGTTACTTGAAACATCCAAACAGAATACAGTCAGAAGTGTATAACATTAACTGTTACATAGAGAACAGGGCACCGATTTCTTTATCTCCTTGAACAGTTTCTTACTTTCTGATGTGCTCGAAATCTCTATTCTTTGGATACATCAGAAGTTTTCGAAATAAAAATTTCCACGTAACATTTGAAATATCGTGTCATTTGTCAAACAGAATCCAAAGTTTCGTCTCTGTATTACTAGTTGGGCTGAACGTGGGGTCATTTTCACTCGAATTCAAAGTGAAAACGCTACGATGAGGAAAAATCGTCGAACAAGCGTGAACGAGCTTGCTCGCTTGCGTCCGTTCGTTTCAAGCTGGATAACCAAGCGCAGCGAATTGGAAACGTTAAAAATCATTTACCCTACCCTTCCTGTCTTCTTTTTGTTCTCACGTTTACTCTCTGCTGGATGACGCCAGCCGTGTATATATTGGCATGGTTATTCGGATCACTGGACTTTTACAATCGACCACAATCACGCGGCAAAGCGGTTCTAGTGGCGGCATTATAAATAGACGTGCCTGTAGGCGCAATCTACACTGGCGACCATTAATAATTAAACATTACGGTATTTAAGTTGAAACTTTATTCTGATTCCGATAATAAATTTAATAGTTGGTAGTTTCGTTATTGTGGGACTTATCTGAATTACTTTTTAGAATGAATAAATTATATTAATTTGACCTAATTAGACGTAGTTAATTTAATTTAAAAAAAAAAGAAAAATTGTCATTTGAAAAGATATAATATCAGTATACTAACAATGAACTCCGCCCTAGTGAAAGGGTTAACTCTTTACATTTGAAAATTTGTATTCCTTCCACTTCTAATTAATCCTTGAACAGTGAAGCCTGGGTCAATCGCGGCCCAAATTTAAAGAAGTAACCTAGAATAATTTTTAAAGAAATTTAGGAAATAAAAGTAATATGAAAGAGAAAATCTAAATTAAAATTGGGTCTCTCTCCATGGTCCGCCCGAGGGTTAAAATAGTGATTTTTCACGATCGTCAGTGAACTCCGCCCTAGTGAAAGGGTTAACCCTTTACATTTGCAAATTTGTATTCCTTGCACTTCTAATTAATCCTTGAACAGTGAAGCCTGGGTCAATGGTGGCCTAAATTTAAAGAAGCGACCTAGAATAACTTTTAAAGAAATAGTGTTAAATTTAGGAAATAAAAGGAATATGAAAGAGAAAATCTAAATTAAAATTGGGTCTCTCTCCATGGTCCGCCCGAGGATTAAAACAGTGATTTTTCACGATCGTCATGGAAAACGGTGCAATTGATTGAACATTATAAAAAAATCAGAAACTATTGTTGACCATACGATCAACCCGTGTCCCTGTACGTACTCAAAGGGTTACCGTGTCCTGTATCGAACGGTCTAAAATAAATAAACAAATGAATAATATATTAAGAAGACTGTTCGATGGTAGCGACGGTGGCGACGACGATCACGAAAAGTCTCTGTGAGATATTGATTTGCTCGTCCCTCTTTTTCTGCGGTAGTCACGTGAAAGAAGTGGACGAAGCTCGAAGCCGCATTCGTGCACGTGTATCGATTCGACCGAGAGCCAAGGGAAGTCTTTCGAGCACGCGAAATACCAGTCACGGATAGAAGATACGCGAAATCGTCGCGTTAATACGTTCGCTGCCGCCCCCGGGGGGTCGCTGATATGACCAAATAACAAAGACGAATGAAAAGAATAAAATTTTTTTAATATTCATAACATTGTCAACACATTTACGATTCACAATGGGAATTTTTCTCATTTATGATCCTCTTTTTCGATTACATTTTATGTGAAGAGTCGATTAGGCACGCGATATCGCGTGATCTGACCTTTTAACAGGTGAACAGAGATGCTTAGAATACAACGTCGGTTGTGATCTCGATGATACGCGACGACACAGATCCGTGTCACATTCGATTATTAATATTAATAACATTATTCAGATTTATATCACTAGCAATATTAATATCATCATGTCGACGAGCGTCAGTTCGCAGCGAGACGTGTTAACGCGTTCCATTAACGATCATCGTCATTAATATTAATGTTATTTTTATCTGTGTCATTCACTCGGCGAATGTCCATAGTTCGCGGTGAATGGTTAATTGAAGGATCAATCTATTCAAGAATATTGGCAAATCCTACCGTTCACCTGAATAGTATCACCTGTTATTTAAGCAGAGATTGAAAATAGTTAAGGTATCGAATTCCATTCTTGAAGAACCTATATTCTGAAAGTAGAATTTCGGTCTACATTTCCATCGATTATTCTTCTAAAATTGTTCTATTCGTTTTTAAAACTGTTCTAAAATCCCTTCGCGTATCAATTTTTTAGCACGCTCAGAATTGATTAAATTAAATATAATTAAACAAAAATTGTGTCAGATTTTCCGTAACGCGGTATAGAAATTGTTAATTTGTAAATATTTGCAAGATTTGCGAAAAAGAGGATTCTTTCGTAGATTTTCGCCGTGGCCTGGAAATCCTCGGGAAAAACAAACGACCCGACCGGAAACGTTTCCTCTTTCCGGTATTTTCTAGTGCGTTGAACGCGCGCATACGTGGCCATAACTCTTGCCAGGTAACATGAGAAACGAGTCGAGCGGTTCGGGCCCGCTTTTCCTAAGCGGCTTACTCCCGCGACGGAAAATTGTGCTGTGTACCTCCAAGAGCCCCCCATACACGAGCTTCTTTTTCTTTATCTTAACCGTCTTTGACTTTTGTACAAAGTGTTATGGAATTGATAGTCGTAGTTTATAAACATGAATATTTGCAGAAAAAGATCCACGTTAATGACTTTTGCATGAAACGAGTTCCAATAAAAATTTATTAATTTCTTTGAGCCTTTGAATATCATTCCAATAGAGATCGCCGCTTTTCTTTTGATAGTACATGGAAAAAACCTGTCGTTCACAGAAATCGTACAGAGATACGGTTAGATAGTAGAGAGGAACTGGGTGGAAGGGGTTGTACAACAACCCGTGATAATTTCTTATCTAATCTAATCAATATCGCAAGATTTTGTAATCAAAAGAGAATAAAAACGAAATGATTAAATAGTTTAATGGTTTCTTTGGCTTCAATAGTATATTCTCGAATGCATTCGAATTTGCATATTTTTTCAGAGCTTGTTAAATAGCGTGAAAATTTATTTCAATAGATTTACTTTAATTTATTTTAATTTATCGTACAGAGGAAGGCTTTTCTACATTATTTTTTTTACAAATAAGATGATATACATGAAATTATCCATCCATGTAGAATTTTAATTAGCGATTGCCTTTGATAGCAACGTCGAATCGCAAGGGTCAATTTTAGCCAAACGAAAGGTCGGGTCGGTGGGAATTAAAGCGTGCTTGCATTGGTAGTCTGCGCTTTCTACTTCGCCTCTGCTTAAATCATCTATTTTCACACGGTACCCGAATCCAGCGTCTAGAAAAATCGTAGAGAATCTTTTAAAGCGGTAGCGACACACGTACACTTACACAGCAGCATAATTAAATCCCCCTTTTGCAATTGTCGCAGTAACGCGAATATTCGCTTTTTCTTTTCGTATGTTTTCAGAACAGCAGAAACCGGAGGTGGACCGCGGGAGGAGCAAGGAGAGCGCTTCGAATAAATGACGTGAATCGAAGGAAACGGAAACGCAACGTCGCTCGCTAACTCGCAATCCCCCTTCCCTCCCTCGCCAACACCTTCCCCAATCACTCATTCTGACCTTTCCCTTCCCTTTAGCCACGATTCACGACCCTTCGCAACCTGACCTCTGCCCTTGTCTTTCACCTGCTTCGTCGCGAACCGCCTTCTAGCGCTTACTGTATCTCTTTATCTATCTTCTTTCTAATCAACCAATTTTCATCCCTTAGAAATTCACTCCCCCTTTCAACATCCTTCCTCCTTTGGATTCGAGTTTGTTGATATATATATATATACACACTTATACACACACACGTACACGCAACGATCAGCAGATAAAAAAAAAAAAGATAATTAAGAAAACATACGTACAATAAGGCTGGTGGTCGACGTACAGCTTTCTCAAGCTTTGCCTTCCTCCCTGCGAAAAAAAGTACACGCTCTTCGGTTTAAAGCTAAAGCTCGACTTCCATCGCGCGAAGATTACAGACGGAAGATTGGAAGAGTTGTCCTGAAGAAAAGCAGCTCGAAATCGAACAAACCTAAAGCCTAATCGTTGTCGGTAAAAGAGAAAGAAAAAAAAAAAGCGAAACAAGTAGAGTACTTTGGGGTTTGTTCACACTTTCTTCCAACGGTGAGAATCTCCTTCGCCTCCTGCCGCTTCTTTACTCTCTGCAATCCTGTTCGACCCGACACCATCGATCCACCGTGAAAGAAACGAAAAAAAAAAGATATATATATATATATATAAAAAGAAGCTCTCTCTCTTTATCTCTCTCTCTCATTCTCTCTCTCTCTCTCTTTCTCTCCGTGTGTTGTTGTTGTTGTTGTTTGTTGAGAAAATAATTTGAAAACGGCTCAGCTGGCCCGGTGTATGCAGTTGACGAAGAGCAATCAGAGGAAAGAAAAGAACGGTGACGAGTTTCTAAGTAGTTCGTATAGATTCAGTTCTTTTTCGTTCGATTCGGTTTGACTTGAATCGCGAGCATTTCTCCATACGGTGTTCCGATAATTCTAACGCGACAACGAATAGTTAGGGAGATCCCGACGTTTAGTTTTTTCCCCGCGAATATATCGCCGCGCGTGTTTTTTTCCATCACGTCCACAAGGAAGATAGAAGACCTCCGACAGCTTTGCCAAAAGGGACGCGTTCATGGAACAATAAAGAGATTTTTGAGAAAGGTACGATTATTTATTCTTTAGTATCGTCTGATCCAGGCACTCGAGGGATTTATAAACATACGGAGATTCGGGATAAATTTGAGACTCTTAAAAATCTTCAGACTCTTTGGATAATCTCGAGAATTAACACGTTTCTCACCGGTAATTATTAACACCTTGAAAGATACCTCGAGTCTCGTCGACGTTAATCTTCTTACGCTTATAATTTTCTTAGTAGTCTTTCTATCAATATAAAATTACAAGAACCATTGATTCCATGGAATATCAATTTAATATCAATTAAAGAAATTTTAAGATTTAACACCTGGACAGATAATTAATATGCAAAGTGTTGTGATTAACCCTTCAATCGAGACCCAAAGTAAAATGTGTAATTTTTAAACAAAATATTTTTATATAGAATAATTTGAAAATGACATGAAATACAAGATTAAATTAAAATTGGGGCTCTCTCCATGGTCCGCCGCGTCGTCCAAGGGTTAAAGTGTGAAATAATGAAAATTCTGCAAATTTCCCACGAGTGCCGACGAGTTGAAAAGACGGAGGGCATGGAAAAACAGAAAATAATTGTATCCTTTGGTGAATTCAGTGAACGCGAACGAAAGGAGGCAAGGCATTGCACGGAGACGCAGATCAGTGGACGAAGAGGATAAATTAAAGTCGGTATAGAAAGCCGGATTTTGTGTAGCCCTAGTAAGGAGGAGTTCCCCCGTTGGTCTTCCAGGAGTTGGAAGTATGGCAATGGTCAACATGAATAACCTACTGAACGGCAAGGACTCCCGATGGCTGCAGCTTGAGGTTTGCAGGGAGTTCCAACGCAACAAGTGTACTAGGCCTGACACGGAGTGCAAGTTCGCCCATCCGCCAGCTAACGTCGAGGTGCAGAATGGACGGGTCACTGCTTGCTACGACAGTATTAAGGTAATTCGACATTTTTTTATATTGATAAACTGCTCGAATTACGAAAAGAGATAAGGAGCGAAGGTAGAAATTAAAATTGTTAAATCACTGACGACTATAAAATTTTTACAATTGATCATCGATACCTAAACGTATCAGCACCCCATGTTAGATATTAACAAATTTGTTATTTGAAAATTTCCCTCAGGATTTTGTAAAGATTCTGCATAGAAAAATATTAAGGTGCAATGTCAAACAAATTTTCGTTCATTATCAAATTAATCAATTTCTGCCATTGTTCTCTAATACTGTTTCATTTCTTAATGGATAATTCGATCAGTAAATCATTGCATGAAATATTTTTCTTAATTTTTATAAATCGTAATGAGAAATATTCGAAGTAGAGATGTACTCATATTTAGTTTGTTTAGCATTAGAATCGGGACAACGTATTAGTACATTTATAAATGCAATCACTTATCTCAAGGAAAAATGTAAAAATGTAAAAAAAAAATGCGAACGAAGAATGGCATTAGAAAAATAGCACTATCATTGTGACTCTATAGTCAGCTATAGTGATCATTTGAAATATCTATTTTCGCTGTTATATTTCCTTATTTGTAGTAATTAATTCTTTAATGATTGGAAACGTATTAACTTGTTGATTGGCATAGTGAAAATGATGATACACAGGGTGGTGCATTAAAATTCGAATTATCAAGGAAATGAATGTTTAATTATTAACACTGATGGTTATTAGAATTCTCTCTATATTTCCCATTCGTAATTGCTTGATTCCATGGCAATCAGCGTGATAATAGATTGTCCTATGTGGCTGGTTATTGACTGAAAATTGACTAATAGACCTTTCATCGTTAATAATTAATTTATTATTCGATCGAATGATTTAAATGTACACGTGATACGACGATACGAAATAGGATAAAAGTTACCTCTATTCCAGAGATTATTAACGAACTCGAAGCTTTCTTTGCATAAAATATTATTTTCTTAGGAATCGACTGATAAATCGTGTAGACTGTCATGTCCGAACACCCTGTACACGAGGGCATGATTAAACGAATGAACGCGAAAAAAAGGTACGAAAAGGGCGGGGTTCGAATGTCTCTCCTTCGTCGCGGAGATATTGAACTGGAAAATTGAATTTGCAGTTATTAATTGCGACAATTACTCAACGCGTCAAGGGGAGATGAAAAACTATTCGACGAGTTTGATGAATCAGAACTGACTGGCTGGGGAATATTACGATGAAAATTGGAAAACCTTTTCGTTAATAAGTCGAAGAATTTACGGAGTTTTTACCGTTCAATTAATTAGACTAAAGAACAGTTGTCTAGATCGACCAGTGTTTCTTCTATCACCTATGTTTTCAATTTTTAATCTTTTCTCTTGAAAACTCAGAAATATTTTACACTTTATTCTTTATTTTTCTTACTGCTGGATCGCAGATTTTCTGTCTTCATTAACTCTTTGAGTGGAGACTCTCTTTGAGGCTCTCTCCATGGTCCGTCCTTCTAGACTTAATATTATTCATTTATAATTCCTATTTTTAATCGAACACACACGTTCCACAGTAATATAATTTTTATAAAAATATAAATTCTCCCAGCCATAGAATAATTGGAAAAAGGTGGTATGCTCATTTACGGCGAGCCTAGGGGGTTAAACGGGTATGCAAACACGTGAATCAGTAATAAAAGCCGGGCGAGACGGTTGTTAGGGTTATCCGCATGAATGTAGGTGGCACGAACCGATATTACTTGGAAGAAATATTAGCAATAAAGCATAGGAGGAGTGTAGGGAAGGCACCCGAACTACTTCTATAGAGTCTGGGCTCGTTTCGTCTGCCGTTTAGGTGGCAGAACTCCGGCTCTCCTTACGCTTCACCGATGAAATAAAGGCTCATTTTTCGAGCCGGGGTATAAAAGGGGAGAGCAGACATTGCCGTTTCGTACGTCTACCATTCGCATTTAATGTTAGAGAAGTATCGTACGGGCAAGAGGTAGATTAATTCGCTGCCGGAAAGGAAATTGTTGCCCGAAAATCGAGCTCATTCTCTGGTCTGCCGTCCAGAGAATCGCCTGGGGGGGCTTCATGATGCGTAAGTAACGATCTCTTTTACGTGTACATTATTCTGCACCCGGTAATTCGCGTGTCTGTACGAGTTAGCCTCTTTATTTTCATCTACCGTGATTCATCTAGGAAAAATCTTTCTTCTGCGCACGAAAAATGAACAAGTTTTTATAAAGTCAGTATAAATTCTTGTTTTCAACCCCGTGAAAGGTGATCTTAAGATGCTCTACCAAACAGAGGGTACGTAAATAAATATTGTTAAAAATTGCTGAATCATTTTAACTTCATAATATCGCGCTACCTGTAATTATTGGCTTCTTAAGATCCTAAAATTTCAAAATTCTACAATTCTCAGATTGTATCGTTCAACAGTCTTCTGAATTCTTCTTGATTTTCTCTCTTATGCTCGCTGAAATAGAGATCCGATGATGGAGGATCAGATCTCTGATAATTGCGATACTGTTTCATTGAAACGGTGAAACGTGCAACCGCGTTGATAGGTGATTCGATAAGAGCTTCTGATGCAGATGGGTTAAATCAATTTGCAATTAACACAGTACCGTTGGTCGGAGTTAATTAAAAATGGTGCTGTGGAAGGATGTAAGGCGCGGTTAGATTATAAACGGTTGTAAAACCGGGTTCCTTCGTCCCGTGCTTGAAATTCGTACGTTCGATTCCAATTAGGCCGATTGGATGGAAGGTCTGGATATTAAAGTAGACCTTCGGCTTAATCGACGTCGTTCACTGCTCTGTTTCATTCGATATACACAGGATGACATACTATAGAACCTTGTTATTTCAATATTAATTATTCGATTCTGTAGTATCGAGCTCTTCTACAGCCTCGAAAAGAACTTCGAATGACAGAAGATCGAGGAACAGACGATTCGCATTCTCCTTAAACCTTGAGAAAAAATTTCTGTTCTCTGTCGTGGTTGTATTTAAATGAAATCATTTAATAAAATGATAGACTTTACTCGAAATCGCGATTCGAAATTTTATTTCAATATTAATTACTCGATTCTGTAGTATTAAGCTGTTCTCCAGCCTTGGAAAGAACTTCGAATGGCAGAAGATCGAGGAACATACGATTCGCATTCTCCTTAAACCTTGAGAAAAAATTTCTGTTCTCTGTCGTGGTTGTATTTAAATAAAATCATTAAATGAAATGATTCTAAATTTCAATATTAATTATTCGATTCTGTAATATCAATACATTTCGAATCGCGGTTTCGAGTAACATCCTTCATTTCATCAAATGATTTCATTTAAATAGAGAACACAAATTTTTCTCAAGGTTTAAGGAGAACGCGAATCTTCTGCCATTCGAAGTTCTTTCCGAGGCTCTTATTCATCTGGTCGTTATCGATTCCAATTACCTTAAAACTTTCAATTAATTTGACTGTCAAGCGTTTTACGCGTCGTGGAACGAGATCGGATGCCAGCCATTTCTCGGTCGCAGATGTCGCGGGTTCCCCGTCGAAAACTCTGCTGCCAGTGCGGCTGTTTTATCGGTCCGTCATGCCCCGTCGACGATTGAACTTTCTTTCTTCTTTTGTCACTCGTATCCGCTCTCCCAGTATCCCTCTTTCCACCCTCAACGCGGATGCTTTTTTTTTTCTCTCCCTGTTCGATCGCTTTCCAATTCGCGCGCGTCCACTACGCGGAACGATAAAGCTTCGTTCTCGCTTGAAACGATGCGTTCGGCGAAATTCGCTAGCTTGACTCGATGCCTCGAGAAAAAGCCCGTTCGATGGAAATGCAAATCATCGTCGCCGCGATTACTCGGTGCCTGAAAAAGAATTTCTAGTCTCCATATTATTGAAAGAATCCGTACGTAACGGAAGAAATAAGGAAACGGTACAAGTTTTGGTGCAAAAAGTTCGCTGCGGATCGCAGTGTAGTAAGTTTAGATCGTTGCGGGCAGCGAGCGCGTCGTATTTCCGCGACGGGATCGGAAAATCGTATTGGTGGACTGGCAAAACGAGAAGAGAGAGGGAGAGAGGCTTTTCATGGTAACAGACACGAAAAACATAGTTAACAGCTGCTACCGTCGCCTCCGCCGCCGCGACGCTATCGGCGTCGGCGTCGCCGTATTGCCATCTCGCTCTGTCTCATTCCCGTACCCCTGCTCTGCACCTGTCGCGTCCGTTAACGCGAGACTAAAATACGAAACGACGTGTTCTCGTGAGCGGAATCGTTTCACGGGAACCTTCCCTCCGATGTAACATCATCTCTCTACCCACCAATTTCTCTTCGACTGCCTTCCGAACATCCTAAAATGTTTGCCGCCTCGATATTACCCTTAACCCTTTCGTCGTGGGGGAGTCTGCCGGGAGACACGTACGAGGAATCGGAGGAGACTTTGAGAAATTCGTTTTTCACGTTCCCCTCAGTTGGCTCGCGAGACGCTTGTCGTCGAGTCCGGGTTTTAGGGGCGAAGGTTTTCTATACCGGTCTTTCGGCACAGGTCAAAGGCCGACGCATCGTCGAAGCGCTTGACCTTCTTCCTGTAAGGCACGCGATCCCCGGCGTGCCACGGGTTCGTACGATGCATTCGTTGGCACTGCTCGTGGATGCTGCACGTTGCACCGCGAGAAACACGACCGGATTTATATTTATCTAGCTCTCCTCCTGCCTCTTTTTAAGACCTCCGTCCTCTAACCGCGGATGGTGTCAGGAGTATTTGTTCAGGGACAGTTTGGGTTAAGCTGGAGGATACTTTCTTTAACCCTTTCGTTGCAACGGTGGTGCAATGGGACCGGCGCTTATCTTTTCATTTGGGCCATGGTGACTACCACTAAGATAAATGTGCTATTGGCAAGATTGTACCCTTTCGCCATTATAAAATTTTTAATGTGAAATTTGTGGCCCACAAGCTCAAAAATTCGCGTAGCTGTGAAAGGGTTAAATGTATTCAGCAAAGT